GTAATTAACTTTTGATGTCACTGGTAAACATCTGCCAAGTTCAGCAGTGAGATACAAGCCTATAAGGTAATGGGGTTCACAGGAGCTACTGTGGACTGTTTGCTGGGGGAGGACTATTCAGTGAGGTTAGAGCCTCGCTGGGGAGGGCAGCCCGACGGCAGCTGTTGTGTGTTCTGCAACCAGCTGGGCAGTCAGCAGGAGTGAACTGGCCAACTAGTCACTGTCCATGTAACTTCAAAGTAGCCACAGCATGCATGGCTGGGCATCAGGGCTTGCGAGAGAATTTCATAGGAGACCTGCCTGTACTATAGTTTGCATTACAAAGTTAAGCAGACTCAGAAAACAATTCTTTCTGAAACCAGGCATTGCTAGGTCCACTAGATGTGGAAAACCCAATTTTTAGTGAAGAACAGAGGTTCTCATGCAGCCACATGTTTCTGGAGTCTGCTTCTAGCATAAGACATCTGCTATGAGAAGACATGCTGCTCTATGAAGTTTATTTGGACTTGAAATGGAGCTACAGATCAAGAGAAAATAAGAGAGTATTCCCTGGCAAGTAATGGGGAAGATGAGCAGGATTTGTGTGAGTGAGGGAGGGATAACCAAGTGATTTTTGCACTCTAAATCTCTTTGTAGGAGGAGTTTTGATTTTTTTGATCTTCAATTTAACCTTTCAGTTTGACTGAACAAATTTAAAGAAGTAAAACCTCCTGAGTCATCAGATAGTTGGAATGAAGCAGAGTTTGGAAACACCCAAAACTTCAAACTTGGCATCAAAACACACTCTGTTCAATTCCCTTTGTATGTCAAATACTTCTTAATTTTTGTTGTCAAAACAGGAAGCCTCACCACTACATACTCAGGCATCATAACACTCTGTTTTGCTTTCTCCTGGTTTACTCTCTTCTAATGGGAGTAAAATATGCCTCTGTCTCCCTGCACGGGAAATCTCATTTGGGAAGAAAAAGTTCTGCTAATGTCTCAGCTTGTTTTCAAATCAGTACCAAGACTAGTTGAGGCAATGCAGAGACTAAATTATTCCTCTTGTTAGGGCAAACTTTTCTCAATATACTCTATGATCACCTGGCTTAGCTGGCATGGCTCACAGACTTCCAGGTATTTGTCTTTTAAATCAGATAGAGCGGGCTAAGTAATATCAATCTGGCAGGCCACTGCTCCCTTAAGCTTCAGAACTAAGCACTTGACAGTTAGGAGCCATGAACAGCCATTTTTATCTAGTAAGATAAAGTCATAAGGAAATATTTGGCATAGTAAACTGTCATAAAAGAACATACTTAGAAAGAAAAAAGGTCAGAGAGAAATACCCTTGAAAGTTTTATAGGCACTTTTAAGATTTGGTGAAACTAAGATACAAGCCATTCAGAAATTCATCCATCTATCCTCGTGCTTTAAGCAGTCTAAAATTTATTTCATATAAGCTGTAAGGCACACACACATCAACAAGTGAAGCAACCGTGACTCAATGCATGTGAGAATCTTCTGCCTTACAGCAAAACATACATGTGCGTGGAATGGCAAGAGCAGGCGATCCAATTTACACACACTATTGCAGTACCAGGACTTTCATTCCCTTGTTCTCAGACTGAATAAAACAAGTAGAGGAAAATTAAGTAATTGTTCTTTTTCTTCTTTTTGTGCAGGTAAAGCTTCTTTGTCTTCTGACTTGAGCAAACATGCACTTCTGTGCATAGCAATAGGCTTACAGATCAGAGAGACAAAAAGCTGTCTATTCTTACACGAAACTGCACAAAACCAAGACTGCACATCTTTATGGAGACAGGCAACAGAGAAAAAGACCACGAACACATACGTACAAGCATCTTACCTCTGCTTTGACTGCCTTGCTTGTGTCTTCTGCCACAGTTCCTAGTCTGTCTCCACTAGCAGACTGATTCACTGACAGAAACCTGCGCCAATAAAAGGAAGTCAAAACACAATGAGCACTTCAGGGTAGCAGCCGTGAGTGTCATGAGTTGGCAGCATGCATTGTGTAGCATGTTTGAGTGCTGATTTGGCAGTGCTTCAGAAGTGGGGAAATCTTTGTGATGAAAAAGATCTTCTGGTTAAATTCACAAACCCAAAATGTACCATGGAGCAGGAGAGTTTAAGAAGTACCTACAAATCAGTGGTTAGGATGTTTAGCTGGGACCTGGGTGTTCCAGTTCCCTGAGGCTGTGGCAGACCTTGACCTATACTGTTGCCCAACTGAGGGGCTGCTCCAAAGGTAATCTTTTACGATGAAGAGGAGGAAGTGTCCAGCTTCTCTCAACATACTCTCTCAAGAATACTGTCTCTGCTATTGCTTTTCATTTAGTTTATGCTAACTTTAACATTGCACACAGACTACTAAATCTGTTTTTCAGTGAGCAGCACAACACATGAAATCCATCTTATTCTACATTAGTTGCTTTGAGTTGACATGGCTTCTGTAGGGACCCTCAAGCCAGAGAAGGCTTGAACACATCATACAACCTTTCTCCCAGTGAGGGAACAAACAAGGGTTCTTGTTTCTCCCTAGCCATTTTCATCAACTCTGAAAACATAGTATCTTTGGAGATCTTTGCCTAACTGCTGAATTAGTTATAGCCAGTCTGGGGGCTCAGTCCTCACTGAAATTGACTTGATGACCATGGGCAGAAGGACACATTCTGTGTCCTTAGGCAGCTGGGCTACAAGCAAAGTAGAATCATCCTATGTGAGGACCAGCCCTTTCAGCCAATTAACTTGTAAGTGTCTTCAGAAGAACTTGTGTTTCATGTTGGACTGATGAGCATTTAGAACACCACCAGATGAAAGGGATGTGTTCTTGGGAACATCGTTGCAAATAATACCATGCCGTTGGGTGGTGGGGGAAGGAAAGGACTGAAATAAGTACAGGATGCCAGCAAAGCCACAGTCACAGTTCTGTTTTACATACAGAGTAGAGAACATTGTCTGGGATGGTGAAAAAGGTAATTTGGTAATTTCTCAGTGAAAAGCATTATAACTTGGCTGCTCTGATGTCTTTAAGTGACAACAGTTTTCATCAAACCATAAATTAATCACTCGGAAGGGCTTCTGCAACATGATGTCTAGTCCCTCCTCATGTCCCAAGGTGGGATCAACAGTCCCCGTGACATTTCCAATGCTGGTTGCCCAACTTGTTTTTTAATGATTTTCCAGAAAATTCAACACCCTGCCTCCTTTATGGACTCCCAGGTTGCAAGACAGCTGCACAGCTGCAGTCTGTCTCCTAGGTGAATCTGGGGGATGTTCTGCTGCTTTCAGTTATATGCTATTGCATTTCCTATCGTAAGTATTGAAAACTCATAAAGTAGCTCTCAAGTCCTCATGCGTTTCCCTTACAATCAGTGAGTTAGTTGAAGGGCTGACTCTCTGGAGTCCCCAGGAACTTGTATTGGGTGTAAGGAATGTCCTTGTCTGGAGGGGACCTGTTTTGTTTGGATCAAGCTCTCTACGTTTGTGGAGCACAAGGAAACAGGACAGGCTTCAGCAGTAGGCTCAGGAGATGAAACAGGCCTGTTGTTTGTCTTGGAAGGGAAAGGGACAAAAGTAGCACCAGCCATGGTAAATTTGTTCAGCTAATGAATTATTTTGCAGAGTAAGACACTGACTTTTTGGTCATATAGTGTAGCCAGTGAACTGTCTTAGTGTAATAGCTGTACCTGCCCTGGTTAGCATCCCAGACTTGGCCCACATTAGCATTCGAATGGAGAGTGAGGGTGTCACGCTGAAAGGAAATCCCTAAATGCACTCTGTTTCTTTTCACAGTGAAGCTACTGGCATTTTATTGTGGAGGTACAGTGACCCATGCTGCTGTAACCTAATAATCATGGAGGCTACCCTTCAGGTGAGTGTCTTTGTGCAACAACTACTTATTTGAAAGAAAATTGGTAGAGCCAGAGTTCCCCCAGGAAATTAAATAGGATGACAGTTTCTTCAGTATTGTTTTCAAAGCAGCCCTTCCCACTAATGGGCGAAGTGCTCTAAATACCCATGGGATGGAGATAATGGATTCTTTCTAACGATGTTTGGGTACTTTTCATTTTAGTGTTTAAACCCCAAAGACGCTTCTCAGAGCCATGATAAAGGTTAGAACAGCTCAGCTCTGTGGTAGCCAGTAGCTTCCATGTGAATTCGCAGATGTGAGGTTCCTGCTGGGTTCACAGTGTAACTTTGAACAAAAGTGTTCCACTGAAGTGCTGTCATTGCCAAGACGAAATCAGGTCCTTTCTCCCACTATGGAGAGTTCATGTACACAGATCCTGAAAGTGCTGTCAGCAGAGATTGAGTCTGCCAAGATTTATCTATCTCAGGGGGTGCCTTGAACCCAAGTTTCCCATCCTCCAGGTGCATGCTTGAACCACAAGACTGGCTACTGTTTTCTGCTGGGTCAACCCTTCCTGTGTTCTTTGCTCTTCCTCATGAAAAAAGTGAGAAGCCCTGATTCAAGTGAAGACAAGCCATCTTTTTTGCAGGAGTGAGTTTTTTGTGTGAATTCTATTTTTACTTTCTGGTCATCATCTCATCTAATAATAAAATTAATCAATACCATAACTGCTAGAATTAGTCTTGGCTTACACTACATCTTTCATGAATGGCTAACCTAATAAACAGAAATAATATGAAGAATGGAAAACTTCTTGAGATCACTGACCATATCCAGAGAAAGTCGGTGCTTTCATTACTGTTAGGGTCTAAAGGAGAGAGCAGGCTGCAAGAAAATCCTGTCTTCTCTTAGTAAAGCACAGTTATTGCAGAATCTAGGCTGTATCAATTAAAAAGTGATTGCTGACCCATACGGTTTCCAGAAAGTATGAAGTGCACCATGAGGATGCAAAAGGCATTGCGGCGTGGTGTGAAAATAGCTTAAGAAGGAACCCTTTCTCTTACTCCAGCAGAAACCATCTGATGCAAAAGAAGGTTTTGTGTGACACCAAGTGTTGTTGAATGAGTTAGGTATGGCTACAGGTTGTTGGTTAAGGATATTTCTGCATCAGATCAATAATTTCATTGTACATGCACAAAGGTGCATCCAATCCCCAGATGAAGTCCAGGTGTGCCCATTCAGGAATTCTCTTGTGATAGATGACCCTCTTAATTTGAGACAGTATAACGGCTGCATCCTTGGGATTTGCAAGCAAGTCTTGTCCCCCAGTCTATACTGCAGTTGGTACAGTCATCTCTTCTACATTGTAGAGAGGAGGAGTAGCCTGGAAAACATGACGCAGTACAGGAATGAATGTCCAGGATAGCACAGCAAGCTTTAAACATGCATTTGGGGTTTTCTTCTGTTAATGTTCGAAGTAGAGATTCCTAAACCAAACAGGAGGGAAGTGCCCTTGATTGTCTTTTCTGTCTGTGCTTGCAGGGATGACCCAGCTGATAGCACAGCCAAAGGAAAAATGCATCCTGAGTTGACAGAGTTACTGTTGGGTCTTTGCCCTCTCAGCTAGGAATTCATAGTGTAGAAGACTGGAACAAGACAGAAGATGACAGGATGCTTCTGGATAAATCCCCATCTTGGTCCTGTTGGAGTACTAGTCAGCCCCAGAAGACGTATGTGGTCTAGTTAGAAAGGACATGTGACAAGTGTGAAAAGGAGCTAAAGTGACTTCTGTAGGAGGAGAGAGGAAGTAGCTTAAGACTCCTGAGTTTGGAAAATAGAGGCCAGAGCAGAGACAGGACACAGGCTTATACAATCACAAATGGTATGAAGAAAGAGCACAGGAAGTAATTATCCCATTACTTCTCATAACACAAAACTAGAAGGCATCCAGTGACTTTCCAGGGGAAAGCAAATTTAAGACAAACCAAAGGAAGTTGCATTTCATGCAAGTCATCTTAAAACATGTAACTTGAAATGATAGGCTGTTGTGGAAACCTAAAGGGTAGGAGGGTCAAGGATGGAATTAGTCTTGGATGGAGGAGAGGTTCCTTAGGGACTGCTTGAGGACAGACTCCTTTTTTCTCTGGCTGCCAGAATCTAGGGGTAGCTATTAGCTCTCCAGTTGCCCTCTTCCTAATATTGTTTCCCTGAGCTCTCATACATGGACAACTGTTTCGATCACGCTAGTAGGCAAGATGTCTGTTTGGCATCCACTGGATATACTCTTCTTTTTCTAAATTAATTTTATATCTTTCCTGCCCTTACTTCCTCTTATTCCTATTGATCATTTAATTGAAAAGTTTTAGTCTTCCTCTTTCTCTCTTTTTCTGTCTTTTCTTTTTACAATGTATTAATGCCATTAGTGCTTGCATGGTTTCTCCGCTTACTTCCAAACTGAAAAGTAGTAATACAGATGGTAGTGGCTAAATCCATCTACTTGTATTCTGAAAATGTGTCTCCTGCTACACCCTTGCTCTCTTCCTGTGTGCTCCTGTGTTGTCCAAGGGTAATAATAGTTTCACCAAAATATACCTGTTGGTATTTTTCCATGTTCTTCTTTGAACTGCCCCAGTCATAAGCTTGGAACTTCCCTGAATGGGCCTCCTAAGAGGATGAACAAGAGAAGGGTAGTTACAAAGCCATCATTCAGGAAGTTTGTGGGTTCTTTCCCTGCTGAGCCTCAGACTCCAATCTAAAGCCTCAGTGGAAGTTCTAAGACCTACGAAAGAGCCAAGAGCAAATTAATTAAAAGTCGCAATCGGTGAAAAGGAGTCAAATGTTTCTGTCAGAACAAAAAAAATCACTGTTCCTGCAGAAAGCCCCAGGGACGATCTTGCAGGCAATTTGTTCTAGTTTGTAAAATTGCTATTAACAACTGCCTCCAGCAAGTTCCCCTCACTGCTGCTGCCATGTCCTCTTCTGACAGTCATATTGCCATCACTCAGCTCTGTGAGTGTCTCCTGCTTATATTTTCTCTTCCCTCTCTGGTTTGAATACAGAAGTCATCTTTCTAGGTTTTTTTGTTGTGCTCCTTGGCTTTCCCTATAGCATGGGTTGTTACTATTGTGAGAGACACTATCAATGGGATCTTAATATAGAAGGTAAGGTGTCTGCTAACTCCTTTAATGGTAATAACAGCAATGACAACGAAGGCTTAGGAGTATTACTGTAGCGTGTTTGTACTTGCCAGTCTGTGGCTAGAAGCTGAATTTAACCTAAGTCAATTTGCAGATGTCCCCCCACTGTGACTTTGTAACCTTTTTTCTTTACAGGCCTAGGCCATGGTTACAAAAGCAACTTAATAAAATCTAATATTTTATGTAAAAGTATTGTTTGATTTTGAGTAAATGCTTGTGCATATGCCACTCAAACATATCCATGTGTTTGCTGTGTCGAAAAGCGCATTAACACTGTTGCAAACTCCCTGCAACTGCTTCCTGCTCCGCTCCAGAGCCTGCAGCGCTGGCAGGAAACCTGTCTGGCCTGCAGCAGGTTCTGTGACGGGGCCCGGTGACTTTATGAATCCTGAAAGTGTGAGCTCAAAGACAGAAAAGAAGCTACCATCAGCACTGCTGCTGAGGGTGTATTATAACAGTATATCGTAAGTAAGTACATTGTAAGGTAGGGATATAGCAAGTTTACTAAATAAAGGATTTATTATTTATAGTTCTATTGCTGTCCAGACACTGAGAGCTTTGAAAGCAAAGGATGAAAATACAAAGGCTTTCACTAATAAAATTTGATATTTTACAAAGCAGCCTATGTCTTGCTCATTTCTTGACTCCACATTGGAAACATAACTGATTTCTTAAGGTAAGCTCTGTACAGAACTGCAGATATCATTTATATAAGGTAATGGGTACACAATAAAGGCTGATATATACATCTGCGTACACTGCTCCCAGCACACAGGTTTTAACACAAATACTCATTGTTGGCTTCAAATGTACCTGTATCACATAGGGTATCTGTATTCTGCTACAGAAAGAAAGATCAGTAAGAAATAGTGTTTTGAATTGAGGTTTTAATTGTAAACCAAATGGTGCATATGTTTCCAAGAAGTTAGCAATGGCTTCACAGCAGGATATCAGCCATACCATATCAGAGTTGGTAAGTTATACATACCATGTCAATGTTTTTCAGGTTACAGCCACCCAGACTGAAGAAGACACTTCTACAAAGCCTGGCAAAAGCTCGGTGGCTGCAAACAGGGACTATTAGCCTTCTTAGGCACTCAGCCTGGGGAAGGAATTCTCTTTTGCCAAGCAAACCCTGTGAAATACAAAGGTAACATTCATTTAAGAATCTACACTTTTACATTGCGCTGTTGTTTTAAAAAGTTGTTTGTGTCCTGTTCCTCTTCTCCAGCACTTTCAGTGGTTCTCGCTTGCTTTTTCTTCATTTGCCAGATGATGTTCCCACAGACAAGAAAGAAATTAGGTGTTTTCCATTGCATCAGCCTGCTCAGGCATTACTCAATTCATGTTACATCACTTTTAACAAAGAGATATGTTAAATGTTAACTCCAATTCATATTTTAGGTCTAAGCTTGCACATCAGTTGTGGCTTTGTCTAGAGGAATCTTGGAAATCTTTGAGGATCTGCATCTCTGTACTTCTCTGTGTAATCGGTCCCAGTGCTGCACTATTGCCCTAGATAAAAAGCTTTTATTAATGTCCAGTCTGAACTTCCAAAGGCTTAAGTCATAAGGCAAACCTGCCAGCCTGCAAATGAGTAGATTTCATAAAGCCCTATACTTTCTGTGTATCCCTTTTAAGAGCTGAACAAACAAGTGTATGGTTAAACAGTTGAAACCAAGATATCACGTACCCTGATCAATTTTTCAAGAAGGTAGAGGAGTTTTGTTGCTGGGCTTCTAGCATACTTAATAGTTGTGACAGGTGCTAATGCAAAATAGAGTTTGATTTTCTGAGCCAGCTCTGGCATTGTTGAAAATGCAATGAAAGCTGAGAAAACAAAAAAGAGGAGATAGGAAAATAATTATTTGTACATTAGACTGTTTTCAGTATTTATGAACGCTATTCTGAAATTTCAAACCTACAAGCAACCTTGTTAGTTGTTCAGAGACTGTGGTTCAGCCTAGATCTGTGTGAAATCCCTTTTCTCCATGTGTTACTAGCTTGTAGTTTTAGTTCTCTCTTCAAAAAGAAATTTCTTTCTATATTTGCCTTTGCAGCTTTCTCCCAAACCCCTTTAAAAATAAATGCACACTTCTGATGTACATTTATGCATTTCATATACTATTGGGAGGAGTAGGTTTTTTTTTTGGTCAGCCCAATTTATTTTATTCTTTTGTGTGTGTGTGTACGTGCTGTCCAAACTGGCCAACTTCTCTTTCTGTACTCTCATCTTCCTATTTTGTTTATTTTGGTCAACTGACCAGCTGCTGATGGGCACACCCTTGCGTCTTGGAAAGAAACAATTTGCACGGGCCACAATACTTTCTAGTATAATTCTAAGTCAACAGACTTACAGCAACAGTGCATTTGGCCCATTATTTTTTATTGTCTGTATAATAAATTAAAAACGTCTACATGTTGAAAAGAGCTTACACTGTGTTTTTCACACCTGCAAAGAGTTAATGAAAACCCCAGGTACATTCAGTATCTCAGTATTTCAAATCACATTTTACTCCTGGTTTCCTGAAACATTGGTCTGTTATGTGTAACTTACCAATGGTAGTACCTTGTGAATAGCCTATATAGTACAACTTTTCCTGTCCTGTTTTCTCCACAATGAAATTTATTGCTGCGGGAAGATCAAACATTGCCATCTCATCAAAACTGCAGGCAGGAGATTGAAAGAGAGGCATGCATAAATTAAAAATCAGACTTTGAATTGAATTCACATTTTTATTACAGAAATTGTATTTTACTGTCAGCAAAGAAACAACATGAACTATTTAGTGAATCATTCAGCTATTTTAGGTTTTGTGTTTTTCTGGCACTGAATATGGAAGCTATTACTCAAGATTTTCTGGGGTATTTTCTCCTTTGACATCAACAGAAGGACTATAATTTCAAGAAATGTCAGATTGAATTATAACTGTCTACACAGAAGGAACAGGTGATGATATAGTAACAGGGGTCCTTCAATGGAATCACACATTTTATACGATTTGGCATTAAATAAAAGGTCTGGGTTTAAAAGCTCATTAAAATAAGAAGTGCCAAGATTATTTATATTTTCTCCTTCTGTGATCTTTGTGTTATTGTAATACACAGACTAGTGTTTCTAAATAGCCTCCAAACCTTCCCCCAGAACTGAAGAACGACTTGCAGATGCCCTGTGCAGGTTCCTCTGAGTTGCTCTGCTACTATGCCTCTAGTTTGAAAAGCCTTTTCTAGCAGTAATTAAAGTAGTCTCCATCACTGTTGAAGTTCAGAGGCATGTATAGGAGCACCTCAGCAAATGTGAATGTAAAGAATGCTTTTTAAAAGGTAGCATATGTAAATCCCTGATTTAGCCAGCTTAAATAATTATGTAAGAATGGGCAATGGAGATACCCTTCAATGTTTCTGTCTCCCTGAAAGCCCAGAATTCATCTTGATCAAGGGAATAATTTTGATGTTTTCTGGACCAGCGATTCCCTCTGCTGTTTCCCATCCAAACATCAAACCCAGCATCAGCTAGTATGAAGCCCAAGCTGTTGTTGGGCAGGTTTGTGATCCAGTTACTAGCATCTCCCAATAATCCATGTTGGAGAAACACAGCAGGTTTCAAAGCTGAAAAGCAAATCAGAAACAAAACAACTATTTATAAACTTTTTTCATTTTCTGATAGGAAAATACTGTCCATTACTCTCCCATATTCAATACTGGGATTTGTTTGTTCCTGCACCAACGTGAAGGAAGACAACCAATCAAAAAAACAAAACATCCCTTTCTGTAAAGAGAGAACTTCTTCTAAGCTTCTGTAAGGATTTAGGGACAGATCAGCCTGACACCAGCAAAAACTAGCTTGGCACCCTCCGGTCATTGTTTGTGTAGCTCAACCGCATTAGCTTGAGATTCTCAATGCTGATATAAAGAATGAAGGTATGAGATTGTTTGCAGAGGTTTCCTTTACCCAAAATATAAATCAGTCACTGATATTAACCAGGTGTAAGCAAAAGCAAAGTAAAATTAGAAGCTGGAACAGCTTTCTCAAAACAGGCTGATTGGACAGTCTTTACCCTATTTTGTTCTATTTTTAACTTTTCTTCATCAACTCTTACTATGAGGGTATATGCCTCATAGTGGATTTTTATTATAAATAGGTGTGCTTGACGTAAATCCTGTTGATATTGCAGGCTGTTCAGGGCAGCCAGAATGCTCTGCTAAAATTTCACTAGCATATACAAGCTTTGCTGGATGTTTTACAAATATAAGGTATCTCTTTCCAGAACGTGTCCTGTATAGGCTGGTTTTGTCTCATATTAAAGAACTTTACCTGGGTTTCCCTGATTCTGTGTACCATAAGGGATTCTGTTAGTGGTAATGATATAACCAGCTTCTGTCATCACTTCATACTCCTTGCAGGGGTACCCTTTGTAAGTAATGAGCTCGTTCTAGAAGAGAAGGTACAAATGCATTTGCTTGCAGAAGTCCATTTCACATATTATATGCATAAAATATTCTCAATGAAGAAATGTTAGAGAGCAGATGCAACTGGGGATTTAGTCTACGTATATTAAGCATCTGAATAAAGCAATATCAGATGGGATATTGTAACCCTAAAATTACAACAAATTTCTTTCATTCTTTATGTTATATCCAGGACTTGACTATTCAGTTAAAAATCTGTTATTAAAAACCTGTAAAAAACAGGCTCTTGCATTCTGATGATATAAGAATCACTTTGATCTCATAACAGGAGTTCATGATTCCCATAGCTGAGACGAGGAGCTGCCTGGGTGCAAGCTTCACAACTGCCCTTTCATGAATGGCACATACGCAATGAGTACCACTGAAAAATTGACTACATTATGGAAAAACCAGGATCGGCCACTTGCATAGTCACAAGGGAAATCACTAGCACAGCCAGTCTTCAGCTCTGAAATAACTATTACTTTTGACCTGTAACATTCAACCTGTTTTGTTACAAACGGATTGGCTTTTATAACTTGTACTCAGAGAATTACTCAATGTAATTTGTCACATGGCAGAAAACTCAAGATTTTAACAAGCGACTGAAGATCTAAACAAACTCGCTTGGCAAGAGGTGCTCTTCTGAAAAACTGGCCATTTCTGATCTATGCTGGTCATTCAACAAAGGAGAAAACATAAGCCACTAGTTATTTAGAGTCGTCTTTGCTGACAAAATGCTTACATTCCGTGATGGTCGTTCTTTCAGAGAGGGGGATAGTGCCAGCAATAGCAAAATGATAACTGATCTTTAAAAGGAAATTAGCTCTGGAGATATACTAAGGAAAGATGTTTGCCTTAATTTCTATCAAACATAAAATGTGCTGTTACACATGCAGACAGAAGAGAATAGAAGAGAAAGCAGTAGGATACAGAGTGATTAGAGAGGATGGGTTAAATAAAGGCAACTTATCTACCCTGCTATTTCTTACACCTAGAAACCCCTCTGCTGTGAGACATGCATTCCTTCCATTCCCAGGTCACTCTACTGAGCAACTTACAATATTCATAAATGCTTCAGGATCCACAGCTCTCTTCATTCTTCTGAGTTCTTCAGAATAAGTAATTTATTGAAACAAATACGTCACAGCAACAAACAGCCATATCTTCTCTCTGGATAAAACAGTATATTCATCTGTCAGTAGTCCTGCTCTGTACTTGTAATCCAGGCAGGTTCTGTGCTTCTCTGATGAGCAAAGTGCTGCCTAATACTGAATGGAGCTAGTCTGGTACTCCCTACTTGTTAATTAAACAGAACAAAGCTGACTTTAAACACCTATTTCAGAGAGTTTGGCAGCAATCTGGATTCTCTGCTAAGGTTTGGACCAGGACATTGCTCTTAGTCAGGGGAAAGTACCAGTGAATCCAAGGAAAGGAGCAAAGCTTTCAGAGAAATGGATTTCACTCCTTCTTCTGAGAAGCAAGTCACTTGCATTACCATGCCACACATTTGTTCTGTAGATTAACTGGGAAACGTTTCTGGCTAACTCTGGGGAACAGTGGAGTTATTGGGCAACTTGTAACTAAATAAATCATTGTCATAGCGAAGTTTTCAAAGTGGACACAACCAAGTTGTTGGATAGGCAACTGAAAAAAAAAAGACAACTGAAAATAAACAAATTAACATATCATTTAATTAATAACTTAGGAACCTAAATAAAGTACTTACTTATAGTTGCCTAGCATAATTTATACAAAACTGTTCAATGGCAAAATTTATCCACTCCATTGGATGAGGATGGAGAAAGGAAAAGAAAGCTTTGCTAAATATAATGTTAGGTAGAGACTGAGTGCAGGAAAATCCAGTTTTGTTGAGGAAATAAGGAAAAAAAAAAAACCAAAACCTGAGAGGAAACTAACCTGCTTAGATGCACACATAGCAGCTCCACAGTCTGTGAACACCTACATACTCTGAGCTCAAAGAAAATGCAGTGTTTGAATTAACATTCTCTCTACACCATACAAATCCCTAGAGGCCGTGTCTAAACCTCTGTTGTCCCAGTGACAGATCTCTAAACTAGACTGAATCAGCCAAAAATCCATTGCATTTATTGTTTTCCCAATCAAGAAGACACTGTAACTTTTTTCCCCAAATAATATAAACAACTTTTTTTTTCTTCTCACAGAACAACAATTTATATTCTAACGTCCTAACACTACATTCTGATCTAATCTGTAGCTTGAAAATACTTGGCTCCTTTTGTAGAAAAAGGAACAGACATTTTAAAAACTTTTTTTTTTGCTGAGCTAGCCTCCTTTTTTCAGTTGAAAGCCACTGTGATCTTATTCCCACACTTGCCATTTTTCCTTGTCTCTCCAGTTAGCTCACAGTTACCTAAATTCAGGCCAGGTGAGTCATGCTGCTCCTCTTTAGCCAAAAGGAATCTTTCAAGAAATAGCCATCCTTTCTCCTATGTGAGTTACAACACAATGAAATAAATTTGTTCTCAAATGATAAAGCAACTCCTCAAGCCCAGGTTTGATGCCATCCTTTGCAGCTCCCACAAAGCCTTCACCAGTTTGGGGTCAGAGATAAATTGAAGCGTTACTGACCTTATGCCAGAAATCATGTGTTCGGCTGAGAGACTGAGGCAACAGAAGAATGGAAACTCAGTTCTCGGGTGTTTGGAAGCAGTGCTGGGTAAAGACGGCAGCGAAGGAATGGTCATGCACTGTTTTTTCCCCAGTCCTGCAGCACCTTGACGATAAGCACCTGTTTCTTTCCCACTCCTCATTCCTTCTGCTATCACTTCAGCTTTTCCCTAGGGTAGTACCAGAGAGAGGCAACTGCTTTTATTCTGAAACCTCGTGCTTTTCATCTCTTTAGCCACCACAGATTAATAACAAAGCCCTTTTTACTATCATAGATTGCTGGATTTTTAAGGAGAATACCAGCCTCTGTGGAGTGGCAGAGCAGGATCAGGAATTTTGAAAACAAACATGTTCATAGATATACCTTATCATACCTGATTAAATTGTCAATAAACCTGCATCAATTTGCTCTTTTACTAACAACCTGCCAATTCTCGCTTACGTGGAAAGGATAGAAGGAAATCTGACTCTTTGATACTTCTATAGATGTTATTGCACATATTTTTCTTTTGTTCATTTAATGCTCATGTTGCTGTTCCGTAATTCTACATTGCTGCAGGAGTGGTTTCAGGAGATTTTCCTTTATTCATATTTCACCTCTAAAATGGCCATATATTAAAATGGATGTTCCCTAAATGTAAAAAGTTATGAAGCTAGAATGCTTTTCCATAACCTGTGTGGACTCAGGAAACATAATCCCACTGGCCGTTAGTCTCAGTGGTCTCAAACATACTGGGAGTTGGCCAGCATTGCCTGGCAGTAGAAATTAGGTGGATCCAAGTAGATTGTTAGGTCTTCAAGATAGTGACCTTCTTTTTGTGGAGTACAAGCACAATGCAGCCATATTCCCTAACTGGTGTCCTAGCTATTAATATAATACAAACTTTGCAGAAGTACGATAGAGGCTTTCTTTTTTTTTTTTTTTTTTTTTTTTTTTTCCCCCTTCACTTGCATATTCTGTTATAAAGCTGGTGAACTTTGCATTCTGCATGTTCCAGCTTGGTATTTTTAAACCTTGAAACTAATTATTCTTTCTTGTTCAGTTTCCCACACTTGTTCCTGCAAATATTCATTCTGTCTTACAGACACCATTTACCCACACAGAACAGATGAGCTTATACAGAGAGGAACATCTACCAAGGTTTTGAACAGGCTTTGATACTTCTATTTATATTATAGCTTGTATGCTTTCTCCTTGCAATACTGGCTCTGGTTAGGACCAGATTTATTTAATATAGCCTCAGAAGTAATTTTCTTTAATATTTACAGACCAGAAAGAAATACGAAAGAAAATCTCAGGAGAAGATCTGTTTCTACAAGATTTGCTAGCGGGCCTTTAAAGAGAAATATAAAAGTCTGAATTCAGGTTCTGGCAGGGAATTAGGAGAGAAAATTATTTTCAAAGAGTTGGTTTAGAACATGTTTCCAAATATTGAGTCTACATACGGGCTGGGTTTCTTTTGAAATCTTCTCTTTACTTCCTTTCATATAATTTAACATCTTTCACGTTCCCTCTAAGAAAATGAGATTTTCTCCTTTTTAAAGTCCCAGTGTCTTTTGAAGCTCAACATGAATTCCACGAATGAACCATTTAAATATGTATTTGTCTTTGAGTACTTCATGCTATTCTAACTCATTAAGATGTGGTATTAACTTGGTGTGAACAAAGCCAGCTTCATTCTTTAGTGTAAAGCAATGCTTCATTGACCAAAAGAACTCAATAAAACAATATTGAGTAAAAGGACAATGTATAGATGGCATAGTACCATAAATAGCAAAGTAGTGGATAAAGTCATCATTGCAGGTTATTGGCAGCACGTGTTTGAAGTGAGTGTTTGAGATGGGGAAAGAAGATGAATAAGGCTGAATGTTAGGCTGATTTTTTTAAACACAGACATGCACACTCTGTTGTAAGTTGCTAGGTTTCAGGGGAAGTTACTCACACTATAAACAGGTGTAGAATTCAGTGGAAATGCTTAAAGGTTGAAATGTTACTGTCAGAGGTGTGGCTGCATCTTCACATTGTGGTCATATGCAAATGAACTTCAAACTGGTCAGTCCAGACGCCCTTATATAAATAAGTGCCTTTGCATAAATTGTTTACTACATACTCAGTATATGAAACCTCAGTTCCTTCGGTGCTCTTTCTGGATGAAAAAAACCCCCAGTGATGCACAGGATATAACCCCTAACATTTGGTGTTTTTGCAGACTCTTTGCTCTCCCCATTCCCTCCTCCTTCAGGAATTAGACCTGGCTCTGAAAGTGACTTAAGAATGGAAGATATTTGCAAGCAGCTGAATATAGCAGTTCTTCACAGATCAAATATGTCTTTTTGGCTTCTTCATCCAGCTACGTAGTTATCAGAAACATTTGGCTATTTTGAGTATGTTAAGGAGGGCCTTTAAAGGAAGGTGTGCTTTTTTTGAGAGAGAGACTTGTTTTTGAACAAGTTGCCAGCCAGGAGTCTCCAAGGGAACGCACAGCAGCAAAAACAGAAGAAACCCCTCTGTGCACTCATATGGCTTTAAAAATATTTCATGCCATAAGGGTGTAAGCAGTTGTTTCTTCAGAGTGAGCAAAACACTGAGAACTAAGAACAGGGTCTAACAGTGCATTCTCCACGGCATCCCTGGGACAATACCTGGTTTCTGGCAGCGTGGGCACAACGCCTGCCCTCAGCCGCCCCACGCTATTGCCTTGGCTGGAGCACCATTGGCTCCCGGCACAGACATGTCTGGGGGGTGAAGGCAGAGCCCCCCCTGTTCAGCAATGACCCCTACATCTCCAAACAGTGAAGGGAGTCCTTCCAATGGAGTCCACACACAAAGAGACACAAGTGCAAGAACGTAAAGCACTAGTGAGAACAGGTGCTGCTTGGGTGCATGATCCTCCTCAGCTCTGTCAGGGCTGCAAAAATATTCCTGGTGCCCATCATCAAGGTAAATGGCATGGGCTTGCCTGGAGGATTTCCAGAAACTAGGCTGAGCAGTACAGTATTCTTAAGCGATGAGTGAGGTAGGTCTGAGTTGGCACTTACATAATTGCAAATCTTTCATGGGACAAAGGTAAAGTAAGAAGTGTCAAAAACAAGGGCTCAGGAGGGACAGAGAGGGCTGCACACCTGACTGTTCTGTTCACACTGCTGACATCTTGTCTGGGAATGTCCCAGGCAGTGCTGCCCTCCTGCCCAAGCCTCAGTCACCCATAGAAGGGGCGGCTTGCAAACAAAACGCTCAGCACCAGCCCCTCTGTGGACACAGGGCACAAAGGAAATAACTTCTGAAAACAGAAATAATTTCCGCAGGGCTTTTTGGCTGGTGACGAAGTCTGTGAAATGTATGCAAGCCAGGATTTCTTCACCTCTAAGGGTGGATGAAGTCTCTGTTGCAATTCATGAGCTTTGCATAACTGTTAAAATTGTTTTGCCCCACAATCCCCAGGTAATTTTTTTGTCCTTCCGCTAATTTTGTAGTAATGTATACAGCAATATCTCCTCACCCCCATAAGTATCAACTGTAATTAGAAAAAAAAAAAGAATTCACACATCTGCATACAAATGGCTGGAAAGCTGAATTAAGTACGGTTTATTTCTCTTGCAGTTGTCGCTAAATGAAAGTCACAGGAGTGTGAACTCAAATCCTCTGGCAGAAGAACTGGAACCAGTCCGAGCACTAAGCAGGAGTCACACTCAGTCAGCGCTAGTCCAAGTGCCCCAGTCTGTCCCGTGAGTGTGTGCCATTAAGTGCTGGTATGCATGGACTAATGAATGGGGCTGGGGTTGGGTCAGGCAATTTCCTCGGGTCGGTTTTGTGTTGGCATCAGCAGGAGCTATCCAGCTATTTTGAAGGGTGGGTCAGAGGGGCTGTGGGCAGAGTGGCTTGTGTTTTTCTTAAAGCTAAGAATTAAAGTAACGGGTTTGCTCTGACACAGAAGGAGGCTGCTGGGGGGGTTAGAGATGGCATTGCAAAACCTCTGTCCTCTGTTCAAACTGGGATTTTTGCATACTGGGTTGGGGTTGAGTCGGCTGCAGCCCAGAGTGGGCAGTGAGCTGAGGTCAGGGCTGGGCCCCGAGGTGGCCGCAGCTGAGACTGCTGGCTCGCTCTTCCTCTGAACACCTTTCTCTTTGCCTGCTTTCTACTGAAAAATTCTCTTCAAATATGAGTTCCATTACTAATTATCTCAGTCTTGGCTTGTTGAATTTTTTCATGCACAGAAAACAACTTCCCACTAACTTTTGCTCGGTCAACAGCTTGGATAATCATAGCTCTGTCTTTCCAAATTGTAAAACCCTTGGTTTTTTCCTTTTACCTTTATACACAGTAGGAATTTATTTTGAAACAGCAAAGATACAGCTATCTCATAGATCTGGTTCTTTTTCTTTAAAAAGTGAAGACACAGCTACCAATTCAAATTGCTGGTCTGCTCTGGGAATCAACATTAATTTTCCCACATAAAATAGTCCATCATAAAATAATAAAGAATGAAATAAAAATAATTACAAAATTAAGATGATTATTTTGCATTTAGGGCTTAGAATATGATTTTGATCTTTTGTAAGGAAAATAGAACATGATAAAAGTGTTTTAACCTTAGCTATAGAAATGCACTTTAAATAGCAAATCTGTGTATCAAATATAGTCTGTGTTTTCAATAAAAGCTTTCCCTTATAAAGACAAAATTTGTCTGCTGACCCCAAAGTGATGCTTTCCAAAACCAAATGAAGAGCCTACACATTCTATTTTACTTATGTCAACAATATTTCATTCTCTTGCTATGTGAAGGAAGTTTACTTCTAAAATGCTAGTGCCAACACATAGTTTCACAACATTGCACAGAAATAGGACAGATGAAACTTATGGTCCACTTGCAAGCTCTGCTCCATTTGATGGCTGCACTGGACATTCAAAGTGTCCATGAAGCAAGGGAATATTCTTTCATTAAGCCAAGTAATGTCAGACAAGGGCGTAATTCTCACCATCACAAAGGAAATCCATGTGCTTTTCATGGTCAGGGTGATGTCTTTGCTTTGGAAGCATTTTTTGAAGTGCCTTGAGGCAGGAAGATCCCTTTGCAGA